AAATTGCCCATAAATTTCATTTGAAACTTTCACTAATCCATCATTGCTAACACTTTTTAATCACTTCACAGTTTCTTAATAAAAGTAAGTAAACTTATCTGTGATCCTGGTCACAGCACCACTGTTACGTTCCCAAAAATAGGGTAATTAATTCTTTGAGATATAAAATAATTTAATTCCAGGTTTTGACACTTTGGGTAGTCAATCGACCCCCGGTGTGTCGTCACAGATGAGCTTACTTGTTTTATTTTTTATTATCTTAAACTTACCATTATGGGCCCCATAGGTCAGCCCAAATAACCCCCTGGTTTTCTAACAACTTAGCTTCGTAGGGCGGGTAGATGTCGTAGCCCGTCTTTCGGAAGTACTCCTCTGAATAATACCCGTATCGGGGGTCCTTGATCGGGATAACGCCTCCGGGAGGGTGAACCTCGGGAACCTCAACTGGGACCAACTTCCAGGCCCTGGTGATGTCCGTCCAATAAGCCGGGCGGTTGTTGCCGGCGAAGATTGATTGACCCTGTGAACCCTGGTGCGGCGGTGATTTTGGTGAGTCTTCCTCGGCGGTTCGTACTACTTTCACTCGTGGTTCGACTAATATTTCGTCATTAATTACGTGTACTACTGGTTTCGTAGCCCGCACTACTTCAACTCGCGGCTCGTCGATTATCGGTAACGTCAAATGAAACGGCTGCGTCAGGAGACGGCGACGCTTTTGTATCGATTTACCCGATCGACGTGATCGTTTTCCTCGAGGCATGAAGCGAAGGAAGTTGGCGTTGCTGAAGAGATCAGAACCTGGTGGAACGCCAATAAAGCGTTCATCCAGCAGGAGGGTTAGACTGGAGAAGACGCTGACTAGCGCTTCTGCCGAAGGACTTCTTTATATGGGGTAGTACAGCCGCGAGGCGCTCTGCCCCATAATAAGTGTAATAATGGGCTATGTGTTCGGTATAGTTGGTTTATTTGATAATAGGATCTGGAGAGGTTCAAGCCTGAGAATAGAGCTCCCTGCACTAGAGAGTCTCGAGATCTACTACCTGAATCTGCTCCAGAACAATGTTTATAAATCTTATTGTCAGCCATGTTGGAAGCTCAGGTTACTCCTGAGAGAGTCGACGAGGCCCGGGTCCCATGCTGACGCAAGATGTTTTGGTTATCCGCGGCCACGGCAACTCTCTGCTGACGCCTTATCACAAGAGATTTCCCTTACTTCGCTGTTGGTATAACCACCAGCGAAGCAACAGATATCGCTCATTATGCGTTCTGAGAATCTGATCAGTCGAAATAAGAACGTTTAAATAAAAATGAATAAATCTTCCAAAACAAAAAAAAAAATATTAGTCAAAATTAGGCAGAAATTCGTGGAACGTAACACCTAATTTATTAAAAATTAAAGTTGATGATTATTTTAATTACACTGAACTGGTCGAGATGATGAAAAATTGAAGTTACTACCATCGAAAATGTTGACTTTTTCAAATTTTTTTTTCATACAAACTTTTTCCGGAAAATTTTGAAGACTGTTTTTCGGAATTTTGAAAAATCCTGATTTTTTTTGTACGCCCTTTTGGCTTTAGGCCGACAATAACCTAAAGCCAAAAGGGCGTATATCTTAAGATACGCCCTTTTGGCGTTAGTACATCGAACTTTTTTTTTTGCAGATCTTTACGTTTCAAGCGATTCCAAAAAGAATGGCAAAAAAAAATTTTTTTATACGCCCTTTTGGCATGGAACCCCATCTAATTGCTGTAATACGCCCTTTTGGCATTAGGCACGCGAAATGGTGGAATTGAAAATATTGAAATATCAAACAGTCTGATTCAGTCGGTTAAGAATTCAAGAAGCCGTTATGAAGAAAAATGAAAATAGATACAGAATTAGATGACCTTGATACTAAGAATAAATATATAAAGGAACAGAAATTGAAAAATCTTTTAGATAAAAAGAAAGCTCTAGTCGATACTAGTCGTCGAGATATTTCATCCATAGATGATGCAATTGAAAAATTAAACCATAAATAAATAGTGTTATGTCCAAATTAATTATAGTTAAATAATTATTGGTAGAGTGGGCCTTGAGGAGGCTCGGATACGCTTTTAGATAGATTTTCTCTTGTAGACAAACTACAAGAGTTTTATTTTTAATGTGGATTTCGAATGCCTCTCGGTAACCAGGAGTTCCAAACGGCGAATTTTAAGAGAAGTCGATAACAGAAACTGAACTTACCGTCGTCCCTTATGAATTTTATTGTTGATTTGAATTTGAGCTGTCGATCGATAGATCCTGGACTGGTTTCTCTTCCTTCTCTCGTGGTTGAGATCGATGTAATGAAAGAGGTTCAGGATCTAATCTTAGAAATGATGGATTCCACGATATTCGGAGTTTTACTGTTTATTCAATATTTTGCCCTACGGGCGAGACGCAATCAATGCACAATATTTCACTTAATAACTATTCACTTATAACTATATTTTATGATTTAGAATGTTTTGTTATGAGTTCGTGAACTGAGTAACGACTCCGGCAGATACTTAGATCCACCGTCAATTAAATAATAGATCGAAAGGTTAGAATTTAGAAAAAGATATCACTACGGACAACGGGGCCCTCGATCCCGCTCGAAGAGCACACTGACGCGATTCGTAGACGATATAATTTAAAGAATCAAATAGGAGAATAGTGAATTTAGAAATTTGTATAAGCGACCTAGTGCTTTATACTGCCTCGTACGTAACGCCGTACAAGGACACACACGGGTTCTACGAGGATACCTTCCCTCGTATTCTTTGATAAAAGATTGAACGCGCGTCCCGCGGTGCTTAGGGTTTTTAAGCACTCGGGTCGCGAATTTTGGAAGGGAATTGAATTTTGTTATTGGTCTAAAATTTGCAAGTTTGACAGAACGTGGACACGGTGTGCTCAAGGGGTGATCGAGATGTTGTCCGTCCGATTGTCCTTCAAAGTGCAAGCGCTGCACTTTTCGTCGTGAGGCAGAGACCCTGAGTGTTATATGAGGTGACGCCGGATATAACAGCATCCCCCCCCCCCCAAGAACGGGTGCCTTGGCATCCCTGCTTTTGAAAATTCGGGTATCTCCCTTTCGCCGAAAAGTCATCGCTTGACTTTACTTCTTATTTAATAGTTTTATTTTTAACATTATAATATTTATTTTTCATTTATTGAGTGCGCTTTTGCCCTTAACATGAATACATATGTATAGTAGTAGATAATTTATTAATAGTAGTGGTTACATTTAATTTAAATTTTGCCCGCGTTGTTTTGTTGAAAGAGTTACTGTCTTATCAGTAGTAGGGACACTTTTAATTTTTGTGTAATTATTGCGTACAGATGGAGTTCTTGTTTTACGCGCGACGATTCAAAGTTAGTCATCTGGCGGCGTATTAAATCTTGTTATATTTCCACTCTTTTAAATTTTTGCTAAGCAAGGGTTTTTTATTGTTTTAACTCGTGGCAAGGTGTTAAGTGTCGCCGTAAGGAGAAATAGCGAAGAAAGAGCATTAATAAGGAGTGAATAGTTAGTATTGTTACGGCAGTCATCATGTATGTAAGTAAGAGAAATTATGAAAACTATGGAACTTGGTTCCAATACGCGACCGCTGTATATGGTGAGCGGGTAAGTCTATGAGAATTAAATGAATTTATTAATGTTATTATTATTACTGCTATTGTTATTATTATTATTATTATTCTCTTGTTTCAGGACTTACGGCGGGGAGTTCAGTAATAACTGAACCCGTAATAACGGGAACTTCAGGGACCGCTCACCCCGAACGAGGCCTTGGCATTAGTAAGCGAATGGATGAGCATCTTCGGACCTACTAGTCCAGAAGTGTCCACAATCGCTACCTACTTCTTTCGATTGGGGTTGGAGTATCCCGAAATCGAACGGCGATTTATTGCTCCGCATTACTTTGAGGTGCAAGGATGCGTGTAGCACTGATGGAGTTTATTTTAAACGGGTTATGTTTGTAGCAGTAAGTTTTATTTTTTTTTTTTTGAATTTTGAATTTTTTTTTTTTTTTGTGTAGGTTGTCAAATTTCGCTGACCAACTCCCATTTTCAAGTCCTCCTCGACAGCTTGACGGGTGGGGAACCAAGTTCCAAGTAATGCTGGGAGGGGATCGGTTAAGATAACGCTGCTATATAAAAAAAAAAAATGAATATATAGTAAAGAAATTGAAGATGGAGAGAAAAAAAAAATTTTCAATAAATCAGCAACCAAAATGGAATTGTCGTTAGTTTTTTTTTCCGTTTTCCTAAATTTGAATTTAATTTAAATAGTTTAATTTAGTTTTCAATTAATATATATTTTTTTTTTGTTTATATTTATTGTTAGTAGTATTCTGACACTATTAATAAAAAAATTTTGTATCGTTTGATATTAAGAGAATTAGGCCTTTGGTTACTGTTGAACGAAGAGCGAGAGATTAGTAAGTGTTGCGTAAGTAGATAGGCGTCGTTTGGAGTGAGGCGGTCGTTTTCTTAATCAGTAGATGATAATGAAGTCTACTGATTTGGTCGCCGTTACTCATTACTATTCGCTTACTTATGGTGATTAGTCTGCCGCGGTTAAAACAGAGCTCTTATTGATTTATGTGTTGGATCTTTTAATAATTTAGCCGCCGACAGATGACTCACTTTGTACTAATTTGAAACAATAGAAATATTATGTTTAATTTGCTGCGTTCTATATTGCAGGTTGCTACTTATTACACAAAATTTGTATTATAGAGGGAAAGAAGAGGCGAGAAAATTTTAAAAAGTATTGAAAAAGAGAAGAGAAAAAAAATTTTGAAATTAATATTCTTTAAATTTTTATTGTCATCGATTCTCCCTTTTTCTTTCTCTCTCGGGGATAAAATATATAGGTAAAATGTATGTGCTTAATTCTAATGTTTATTTAATAATAATATAAAAAAAATGAAGAATATATAGATATAAATGTAATTTTTACAGATATATTTTCTGTCTTGTTTTTAATTTTTATTCATTTTAGTTGTAGTCGTAGTCAGCGAGTCGAATGCTGGTGCGGATGGCGTTGATGGTGTTATTTTCTGTCGTCCGTGAACTCCTGGTAGACTTTGTTGGTGTTTTGCTGGTCCTGGGGATCCTGGTCGACTTGGGTACGTTGAAATTGTGTCCGTGAGTTCGAATGTTTCGTTTGTCTTTCCTTGGAACGATTTTTGTTTTCTTGTTTTAAATTTTTGCAGAGGTTTGAGGCAGTTGCAACAACAACCGTAGTAATAATACCCAAAGAAAAGTACAAGGGATGTTATAATTGAAAGCACTGCGCCTGTGTTTGCGATTGTGATGTACCGATGCTTTGACTCTTCTTGATGGTGAAGTCCAATCCTCGTGAGTCTGTTCTCGTTTCCTTCGAGGTTGTCACCCCATGGAGAGAGTAGGGTATTTTCCCCTACTGGTTCTTCGACGATGTTTGTCAGCAGATGAGGTGGTTTTGGTTTTTCGGTGAGGTTAGTCACCAGATGTGTTAAGTTTATGGTGGGGAAGGCGAAGATACCGATTGTGTCTGTTTCTTCTTCGGTCCCTTTGATTACGAGATGATCACTTGTTAGGACGCAGCCGGGGGACAAGGTGAAGGTGCCCGAGCCATGGATCTGGTGTTCGATGCGTATACTTGAGTCGCATGTTATTATAAAGTTTTCTGTCTTATAGGTAGAATAAGCCCAGGAATTCGATTGATGTAATTTTATTAGTTGCGTTGAACATTTAGGCAATATTCGGACGTCGCATTGTTTCATTATCTCGTTGTTTGGCTTTAAATAGAGCTGTAGTTCACACTCCGTGTTGTCTTTTATTGATTTGAGGGGGACGTTAATTTCACAGGCTATGTCTGTTGAAATTGTTTTGCAATTTTTGATGGTTTCCGTGTCCGCTAAAAAGTATTGATCTTGTAAGGCGTCTATTGCGAGATAATCCTTGCTTGGCCGGATCAGCAGGCTTCTCATGGCTCCTCCGATTGTTTGAGGGACAGGTATAGGTCTTATTTGATATAGTTGGAATGTGATTTGGTTGAACAATGATAGGGTGATTATAATTAGGAATTCATTATCTATTCTTCCCGTGTTCACCTTTGCGATGCTGGATAGGATCTGGAGATTTATGTGGTCCACTGGTTGAGGTGGATTTAGGTTGGGAAAACGAGTTGTAATATCTCTTGTTGCATTTCTCAGTTGGTCTGGTGAAAAAATTCCTCCTGAGACGACCCCTCTCTTAGCGTCTTCTATCGCTGACTCAGCTTCCTTGAGGTAGCGTAATAGACTCGACGTTCTTTGTACTCTTTCGTCGGCTCTTTGCATAAAATGTAAACGTAGTTTCATTTTCTCGATCTCGTTCCCGACCTTGGTGGCGTAGCTATTGATTGTGTTGGACAGCAGGGTGACTCTGGCCTTAGTGTTGTTTTGATCGGAGATGATTTTGTTTATTTCTGATTTTATTATATGCGTTGAATTGTTTACGAATGTTGTTATCTCTCTTTGGTCATTGTATAATTTGTCTATTTCATGAGAAATGTGTTCGTGGTCGTCGTAATCCATAAGTCCGAAGGCTTTTCGAGCTACGAATCCAAACCAGGGCGTCCTTCGGTTTCGGATTTTAGTCGATGTAGTACTGTCTGCTTGTTTTAGATTTTGTTTTAATCTATTGATTACATCCTCTCTGTCTCTTTCTAAGTCTTTTAATATAGCTTCTTTTCCAGGATTGCGCACTCCGGGGAAGAGAAGTATGATAGACAAGTTTTGCGGCTTTCTTTATCGCCATGTGACATCTCTTGTCAAGGAGATATATTGATGATGGTTCCGACATCTATGGTAGAGACTATTTTCCATTCTCGTTCTATTAGATGGATAGTTTTGTATTTTTCATATAGGATTCCTGGATTGGATGAAGCCGGTTAAATTATTAGAGCGTCTTGACCTGATTCTACAAAGATGATGAGTAGGCAGCATATGTTGACTTCGAGTAGCCGCATGTTTCTTATATTATTTTTTTTTTGTATCGTGTTACTCGGTGTGGACGAGATCGTCTGTAACAGGAGTGTGTTTATTTTATTCAATAGCTCTTTTCAGTTTGCTGGGATGTTTGATTATGCGTTTTCCATTGGGAAGTTCTAATATCAGACAGCCCTTATCAGTAATTTCTACGATCTCAAAAGGACCTTTATAGTAGGTATCGAGTTTATTTTTCCGAGTTTCGTTCAAATTGTAAGCGAAATCTTCTACTTGAAAATCTATTAAAGATCTTAATTTTGATTCGACAAGTGAATCGCGCGCGACGCTCCGAGTGTGACTTAATCGATTCATTAGGTCAATCAGATAATCGGGATATGTTTCAATTTTTTCGTAATTGGGGAACTCGGTTGGAGCGCGAGCCTTTTTACCGACAACTAACTCATGAGGCGTGAATTTTGTCCCACTATGGACCGAGGTGTTAAAGTTAAATATGGCCATGGGTAAGTATTCGTCCCAGTCTGAGAAGAATTCGACAAACACTCTGAGATATTCGACAAGAGTTTGATGGCTTCTCTCCAGTGATCCGTTAGCTTGCGGATAGTATCCTGAAGTTGTTACTCTTCTTATTTTTAATATTTCTGACATTTTTACTAAGAGTTTTGAGGTGAATGATGTTCCTCTATCCGACAAGATCGTTCTCGGACATCCGTATAGGCAAATATATTGATTGATCAGGGCCTCTGCGATCGTTTGGGTCCGGATATCCGGTATTGCTATAGCTGCGCAATGTTTTGTAAAATTATCCTGTATAGTGAGGATATGTACGTTGTCTTTTGCGGTCATAGGTAGTGGCCCTACGGTGTCGATTGAGATTTTTTCGAAAGCGTCGGACGGTGTATCGGTGATTACCATGGGTTGTTTAGTTTTTATTCTGGATAATTTCTTCTGTTGACAAGTGTCGCATCTCAGGATGTATTGATAAATCTGTTCTTTCATTCCTGGCCAGTAGAAATTTTCTCTTATTCTCCAATAAGTCTTGAGGACTCCTTTATGTCCTCCGATCAGGCTTGCGTGTTTTTCTTTGATAATTTCGGGTCGTAGTTCTTCGTCTGGTACAGAGATTTCTCCGTCACAGAGTGTTATTTGTACAGGGCAATCTCGTAGTTCTTTCAGCAGGTGTTGTTGTATATTTATGGAACCAAATCCATCTCCCTTTTGGGCCATTCTTAGGGAGTGAATTTCGTAACGTTCTAATGTGAGACGAAAGCTTTGAAGGCCGTTTATTAAGTCTTCACTGGATATTTTAGTCCGATGATATTCTCCGACAAAGATAGAGAAAACCCGATATTTGCCAATTTTTGTCACCAGGACGTCTCCTTTACGTGGCTTGGCCTGTTTCAGGTCGTTAACATCGATGAATTTGAGGTCACGGAGTAACTTTGCTGTTGGAGTGATTAGTTCGCAGTCCGTAGTGAGGAAGTGAGCGATGTTATCTCGAGCGTAAGTGAGTCCATCTCGGCTATTTAATAGTTCTACTACTCTTAGTTCATCGGGTCTATCCGACACTGATTCTTCCGCGTTTATTGATTTTTCCATCCCCCCCTCTAGGTTTTTGTTTAGAGGCTGGTTATTATTTGGGACTATTTCCTCATCGGAGGATGTGTCTAGAGGTTCTATGATGATTGCTGCTTTTCTCTCGGGACCGTGAGGCCTTATTGGCATGGGAGAGTTATTGTTTGCCAGTGGAGTTGCAATTTTTGGATTTTGTTGAGCAGTTGGGGTTACGGATGTTTCTCGAGAAGTTGCGTCTTCTTCCTAGTTAGATAACTCCGGAGACTTAGGTGGACTATCGGTTATACCCGGGATTTGGGGTATAGGTTCCAGGAAAGAGACTCTCTTCTTTGATTTTTCTGTGTTCTTGGGCGCTGTAGGAGTAGTTGCTACAGGAGAACCGAAGTCGAAGAACCGGCTGGTATTTGCGCCAGGTGAGTCTGTGGTATTTATTGTAGGTAGTTCCGATAGTCTGGTCCTCATCTGAGTGATGACAGATTGATCTGGTATGGGTCTATACGGGGTTGACCCTTGGTGAACGATAGTATCAATTATTGATCTTGACTCTGGATCCCACTTGATGCCCTGTGATTCAAAATTTTCTATCATTGTACGAACTAAAGTTGGCGTTTCTGGAGCCAATTGGATGGTGGTATCAGTGATGTCGGTTCTAGGTGAGAAGTCATCTGTATGAGATTTTTCTTGATTAATTTCCGGGCTGTATGTTGTAGGTTGAATTAAGATCACTGTGTGGTCTGGTTCACTGACGGCACTGGTACTATCCCGGTCCTCGTTTCCTTTTTCCGAGACAAACTCATTTATGGTCATTTCGGCTTCTTCGCTGGCTTCTTCGGGTTCTTCTTCGTTGAATGTCTTCTCCAATGATCTTATTTGTTGAAAATTTTCGATAGATCTTTTTACTTCTTTTATTACGTCAGGACTTGGCGCAGGTACTGGTCTCCACCAGCGGGGATTTCCCTTAGGAATTGTTGGAGATAAGGGAGGTCAGGATGGAGTGTGGATTTGATCATCGGATAATTCTTCAAATGTTCTTATGGTGTTTTGAACGTTGGGAGTATTTTCTGTGAATGATTCAGTGATTTCTCCAGACGACTCTGTCTGTTGTGGAACTACGGGGGTCTCTTCTTCTTCTTCATCTCCATCGTCACCAGAGTCAAAATAGGCCGGGGGAGTTAGTTCCCTCTAGGCTCTGGAGTGTGGAACACGTCGTCATCTCCAACGTGATGTTGAACCAACCTTTGGCTTCTTCGTCGTTGCTGGAGGTGGCGGGTTCAATGTTCTTAATAGGATTTCTATGAGATCCTCTGCGTAGTTCCGACCGTAATCGAGAGGCAATCGCTTGTCGAATCTCTGGAGCGCTCTTGAGGGCTGGTCGGTTTTTTGAACCTAAAGGTCGTCCAGGGCGGCGTTTTGGAGGATCAGAGGTGATTTTCTCAACTCCTGTTGCCGGTAACAAGACGGCTTCTGGTATGCTTTCTTGGCTGTTGACTGCAGAGGACTCGTTAGGCATTCCCTTCTTCTCTTGGAGCTCTTGTTTTTCTTCTGGACGTCCTGTAGGGTTGTATAAGAGTGCATCCGCGTATTGATCTCCTACGTTGGTCCGGATAGCGACCTTGAAGTGGAATTCGTTGATTTTTGATCGCCATTTCCGTTGTCTGTCTGTAAGATCGTGTGTGTCTCGTAGCCAGGCTACACAAGCCATTTTTGTTTGAACGGTGAACCTTTTACCGTATAAATAAGGCCGGAACTGTTGGATTGTATACACAACGGCGAGGCATTCTTTTTCGTCCGGAGTATAGCGTAGTTCTGCGTCACGTAAGACTCTGGATGTGCAAGCTACGATTTTTTCATTTTTATCTAAATTTTCTGTTGAGTCAGTGGAGTCTAATTCTTGGCTCAGGATACCTGCTATGCCTTCTTCTGAAAAACTGACCGCTAAGATGAAAGGCTTGTCGAGATCTGGGAATGAAAGGGTTGAATTTTCGCACAAGGCGTTCTTGATGTCTTGAATGGCCCTTTCGGCCTTTTCGGACCACTTGAAAGGTTTCGTTTTTCGAGTTAAATCGGTTAACGATTTAGCTCGAAGAGCGTAATTATCGATGAATCAGCGATAGTAGTTTGCCAGGCCGAGAAATTTTCTCATCTCTCGTTGATTACGTGGATTCGGAGCGTCACGGATTGCTTGAATTTTCTTAGGATCAGGTTTCACTCCGTCTCGAGAGATGACATGTCCGAGATAGTCGATTTCTGAGCACAAAAATTTGCATTTGTCTGGTTGAAGTGTGAGACCTGCATCTCGGAGTACTTGAAATAACCGTCTGAAACGGACTCCGTGTTCTTCTAGAGAACGGGCGTGGAGGATGATGTCGTCTAAATAAATTAATATCCATGGTAAACAGCTCAAAGTTGAATTCATCATCCTTTGGAACGTGGCTGGAGCTCCTTCTAGTCCGAAGGGCATTCTGGCGTACTCGAAGTGTCCGAATGGAGTGGAGAATGCAGTTTTGTGGGCGTCTTCGGGGTCCATTTCTATTTGATGAAACCCACTGGCAAGATCGAAGACGCTGAAGTAGAGAGCATCTCCTAGTTGGTCCAGAATGCCGACTATAGAAGGTAATAGATATGCGTCTCCTATGGAAATTTTATTTAGATCTCTGAAGTCGATTACCATTCTCCATCTCTTGGCTCCTGTTTTGGGGTCTGCTTTCTTTGGGACGACCTATACCCGGGAATTATATGGAGATTTAGAGTTCCGTATAATTCCCTGTTCCATCAAGCTGTCAATTTGCCGTTGAATTTCGTCCTGGCGTTGTTTAGGGAAACGATATTGTTTCACGTTGACTGGTTTATCAGTTATAGTCGGAATCTTACAGGTTGCTCGATTAGAACATCCTAATTTGTCACCAGGTAGGTGAAAGATGTCGGTGAAGTCTTGGACAATGTCGGTGATTTGTTGTCTATGTTCTATATCGAGATGTTGTAGTGGAAATCCCATAATAAAATTGAGATGAAATGTATGTGGCATCAAACTATTCGTAATGTGATTGGTTGAATATATCATAAGCATGAAAATATATGCAAACTCTATAGTCAAGGCGCGCGCTTGCGCGCGTAAATTCAAATTCTAGTTTATTTAAAATTTCCGTTGCCCGTTGTTCGATGGTCTTGGATTTAGCTGGACCGTCGTCTGAAGAGTCACTGGAACTGTTGAGTTGCTCTTCAATGTGAAATTCATATTCTTCGAGGATTTGGGGGTCTAGTTCGATCGTGACGGGCTCGTCA